ATCGCCTGAAGAAGACTAGCAGTAAGCAGTCGAAACGTCGCGATCTACATCTCAGTGACTACATCGTGAGACAAACGATAATACACTTTATTATAACAATAAGCATATTTTTGAGTCAAAAATGTTGCACCCCCGAAAAGAGACAGGTGATATATTACACCCCTTTCTCCCCATAACGGCCACCTCTCTAAAACGGCCACTTTCCTCTGTCCCCAAGGTGGCCGTTGTAGAGAGGTTCGACTGTACTCATACCTGGTTGAATGGAGGTAACCTTCACTCCACTGCCCACAGTCTCTAGTCTCAAGCTCTGTGTTAACGCCTCCACAAAGAACTTGGTGGCAGTGTATACAGCTAATCCAGCAAATGCCTGAAAAGAATGACCCCGAAATACTTATCACAAACATTCTAATGTGCAAAGCAATCGACGCTGGAAATAAGCTACCAAAAACCATTTTACGCCCGCTTTCACTGTTACCGGCACAGGTGACATCTTTCGACATGCCATCTCTCCGCATGTTATGTAACCTGGCCTATGTGAAAAATGTAAATGCAACAGACTTCCTTATGGTCGAACTTGACTTTAAGTCATTGAAGATGGATTTATTTGACATCAGAATAAGGCTAGGAGTATCAAGAAGTCATTCTGTTAGAGATAAATCGACTGTTTTACATCTTTCGAATACTAAAAGCGGTAGCGGCCTAATTCTACCGGAAGTCACTATTGAGAGCCGATTGACTACACTAAAATCGCTTGATTTATTCCGTAAATTAGGAAACAGGCAAAGTCCACAACCTTCTTCAGCTATTTCAGGTCATTAATTATCATTTATTTGTCATTTCGTCCGCTAATAAACGGAAAAATCACCAATTTCACAGTTAAACCGTCTTTCAGCCGTTTATATAGCATGTCGAGAGATGGCATGTCGAAAAATGGTCGAAAGACGTCGCCTATACATGTTACACTGAAAGCGGTTGTAAATAAAATAGACGCAGAAAGGTGGAAGTTTTCTTTTTAATTAGAAACAGACTGATATATAAATTAATGTATGGAAGACGTGTAGTGACAAGTGTAGGTTAAGGCTACAAGGTAGTTTACAGTAAACCAGCGAGTATGGTCAGTCGGTCACCTACGGAAGAGAACCACGCCACACATTCAGTGTCCATCAAATCTTGTGGAAACATGACAAACTAATGGTGTTACTCGCAGCAATACTGCTAGTCACTTAATGCAGTGAAAAACAGAGCTAAACGCAAGCTGTACTGTCCATAACGACCCGTTTTCCATTTCGTTTTTCATGTTTGTTTGTTTGTTTGTTTACCTTTCTACCAGCATTTGAAGAGATGTTGATGATGTGTCCCTTCTTTCTCTCCAGCATTCCTGGCAGCACTGCACCAATGCAATTCATCACACCCTGTTCACATTTACAGCCAAAACCAAATAAATCACCAGTATTTGGACGGTTCTTAATTGAGCTTGGAATATAACCAGAACTGATTTTGCTTAACTGTGAGCTGTGATTGGTTAAATGACTCGCGCCAACCACACAACTAAAACCAGAACCAATCGCAACATAAGCGCGTTTTCCCACCCTTGGCACCAACTACCTGTATCTGCGTCAAATTCTCATTGGTTAAATAAAATGTCTATGTTTTCCATGACTGGCCATTGTAATTTCTTTGGAGTTGGCTTCACGACACTCAGTTGAAAACCGCTCTCACGAGGTACTTTGTAACAATTTCAGACCAGTCCCGTTCAATCCAACTTTACCACATTATAGACATAACAACAAAGAGGTACTAGATGTTCTCTTCCGTTAGGAATAAAGCTAAATTATAAGCATTATTCCACACTGATGAATATTAGCCAAGGTCTGACGTATTTACCTTGCAGTTGACATCAACCATCTTTTCCCATTCATCAAAATGGCAGTTCTTCATTGTGGTGTAGATTCCTAGTCCAGCACAGTTAACTATGATATCCACAGGACCTAGGGTGTCATCTGTGAATGACACCAGTTCAAGGACCTAGTCATGAATTTAAAAAAAGCTGGATAAATAGGAGTAATGGCTTAAAGAGCGTTTTTATTGTTCATTTAACAGTCTTCTTCGACGTAACACGCTGTGTCTCCCGCTTCCTGAACTTTCATTTCCGGTCGCGCTACTATCTTATGAATGACAGGCCAGCCCGTTGCTAGGGGCCACGTGCATGCGTGTGAGACGAAGTTGAGTTGTAAAACGCGAGTGGTGTTTTTGTGCGTGCAAAACCCGCGGATAAGTTTTCAAAAAGGAACCAGCAATGTTAAAACGTCGTCAAGCAACGACAAGTGCCGTATACGTCCTATTGATACGTTTTGTATCGTGTTGTAACCAATGTTTTCTTTAAGTGAGACCTTCTCTGCTGATGTAAAACATGGAAACACAACACAACCATTACTCAAGTGTTACCAATAGCCGCGATGTAAGCCAGTAAGTTTCGCTGCAGGTTCCAAGACACTTGAAAAAAAGTGAGTTCTATACACACATGCCGGGCACATCTCGAAAGATATAACCAAAATTGCATTTTGAAAAATGCGTCTAAATGTTTTCTTCCTAACACATTTCATTCTTACCCAGTGTTAGCATCTTTGTTCTTTTTTGGGTTATTATCACTTTTTGAAGTTTCTCAGCCGATTTGAAGGTATTTTCGTGGGAAAATGGCTTACTTTATCGCGTTATGTATCTTTACAACTAGTCTAGAATCTTAGTTACTCTTTACCTGCTGCCTGTTGACAACATCTGTTTCCATAGAAACTGCTACATCTCCCAACTCTGCAATCTCATCTCGAATTCTATCCAACCTGGCGAATTTAACAGAGTGCTGCGTGAGAACTTGCACACGCTTGGGTTTTAAGCTACTGACCGCAGAGACGCAGAGCCTTTGTTTGAATGGTTTAAATCTGACTGTTGTGGCAGATGGATTCGTCAGCTAATGGCGGGAAAACAGCACTACATGTTGTAACTTGCGAGATTCATACGTACATGTCGCACTCAGCCATTCATGTGTTACCTTTCTTTGTTGTTTTTGTTTTCGTTTTTTTTGTTTTTGTTTTTGTTTTTCGCTTCGGGACATCATGTTTATATATTACATCATGAGTTAACCTGGAAATACTACAACTTTCTCAGTGTCGGCTTATACCTTTCTTTCCGTCTGGCAGCTAAAACAACCTTTGCACCATTTTCCGCCAGGGCTCTGGCCACAGCTTCACCAATTCCACTAGAAGCTCCTGTAACTATGGCAACCTTACCTCCAAGGGATCTGGGACCTTGAAAACAAATCAAATGCACACTTAGTAACCATGGCTACTGATTGACAGAAGGTAATGGTGTTTTACTTCTGAATAACGATTGTTTAATACTAAAACCTTTTTTTCGGCTAAAATAAATGATTACTGAACGATAGAGCGGATTTTACTTGAGTGTCGGAAGGAATTCGCACTTGCTCTGGTTTTGCGTAACTTAAAAAACTCGCGCAACTTGGTGATCCAATCAGTAAAACCAAAACAAACCTATCTCGCTCGTACTCGTTTTCCTGCGTTTCGCGTCCGCTACATGTGTTTGCTTTGAGTTTTGATTGATTCAATGAATTGTCTGCATCCTTTGTGCTTGGGTACAGTGAAAACTTTGGTTTTGGTTTCACGATACTCAATTAGAAACCGCTCTTACGAATTAATTAAATTAAATGTGAAACTGTAATAGCTTGAGTGAAGTACGAATTCACGATCACTACAAAAATTACATTTCGCACGAGAGGGTGTGGTAAGATCGCAACTCGCGACTCGCAACTCGCAAGATACCCGGTCCCTCTTTTAGGTAAGTGCTTGTTATCCTCATAGAAGTACTGTACCTTTCATCTTCTTCTTAGGAGTTGGCAGAGCACCCTGAGCAACGAGAGCAGAAAAATAACTTGAGAGAAGTTCAGCACTTATGAGAGGATAACTGACTTTGAAGTACTCCATGACTCCTTCAAAATTGGTCATTGTGTAAGTGCTCAGCTTTGAGAAGAAAGACGAGTCTCTGTACAGAAAGGGTGAAAATAGTATGAATAAATTATAATATGCTTAATATGTAAATCGTACACTGTACAATGATCGTCACGTAAAACGCCAATATGAACGGCTGTATTATGTTAATTCAAACATGTTCAAACCTATCTTATTAAAAATTAGCTCTAGCTGGTTTTCATGCGGGTCCCCTACCCTGGTCGAACTGGAATTTAGACTGTTGTTTTTTGTGGAGGGAGGAAAATGGAGAACCCGGAGAAAAACTCTCGTAGCGAGAAGAGAACCAACAACAAACTCAACCCACTTATGACACCGGGCAGGAATCGAACCCAGGCCACTTTGATGGGAGGCGAGCGCTCTCACCACTGCGCCGTCCCTGCTCCTTTGATTAATTAGACTATGAGACAAGAGGGGTGTAATTTTATTTCGTGTAAAACAGATGTTTGACTCAATGGATTCAAGGCTTCAAAATTTCAAAATCAAAACCAAATTCAATGCTCTCTCCTAAGCATAACCTGCAAAGACACGTACAGTACTTTCTGGTTTCAAACGGACAGCACTGAAAACATGAGACGTCTTCACGCACGTTCTCAAAAGTGTCAAGTTTTGGGGGCTGTATACGAAAGAACAGAGGAAAGCCGGAAAGCGAAAAAGAGTATGAAAAAATCGACTAAAATGTAGTGAAACTTACGCCATCCAGATCTCAAGCAGGCGAAGCAGTGAATCGAGTCCACCATTCGGATCATTCTTGCAGAAAACGTCAATTCTGAGGACAAAGTGTAACGAGACGATTCTCATTTGAATGGCTACATATCTAGTTCACTGTAATCAATAAAGAATTTTGAAGCCGCAGCAAAGGCCACGGTTTTTCAAATAAAAAAAAAATATGAAACGCACTACAATGAAACCAATAAGTAGTTAATTTTACATGAAATAGTACACCTGAAAAAAGGGCAAACAGTTTTAAACTTGCACCCGTGTTTGAGCGTAGAAAAAACAGTTCTGTACCTCTTATACCAGTCTTCAAAAGGAATAACGTCCAGCGGATAGCCATGAACACTCATCCATTCAAACAGCCACCTGAAAAAAAAAATCCTTTAAGGATAAATATATAGCAATTTTGCCAAGGATGCGTCATACGATGTACCCGTAAACGAGGGCAAGGTTGTGTTAAAAAGCCCTAGGGGTCGAAAATTTGACTATCGAGGGGGGATGGATGATTTTGAAAACACAGATCCTGCAAGCATACTTGTACCAAACAAAAATTCATCCACGCGACCACTGCTGAGAAAAAAATACACGCAAGTTCAGTGAGCCGAAAAAAAAGCAGGTTATAGGGAGAGAAAATATCATGCACACACGTCCCAAGAAAAAAATTTCCCAGACCTCCTACTGCATAAAAGGGTTAAAAAAATTGTGCCTGTACCAAATCAGCCCCCACCCCCTCAAAAGTCAAATACCCAGGGGGAGGGGGAAGGGAGGACTCCCATATGAAAAGGACGGGGGTGCTTGTCGTACCTTTCAGGGGTTAAAAGAGCGTTTTTGGTAGCTCTTAGGGTGTTCAGCCTCAAAAGATCCACAGAGCGAGCTTGTGCGGTACATATTAAGGTATTGAGTCGAAAAAATACGACAGGAGATAATGTGTTATGTAAGAATTGGTACCTCTTAGGGGAGAAAAAAATTTCAAGCCACGCCCACAAAACAGGATCTTGGTACCTCTTAGGGGTTCTCTTCAAAATTTCAGACGAGCACCCCCGTGCTTTTTATGTGAGAGTTCCCCCGGGGTCAACGGTCCACCCCCTAGGTCTCCAAAGGCACATGCTAACAAAAACCGTTTTTGATAAACATCACTTACTTTGCATTTAACGGCTGTGGATTGACGAGGTGGAAAACTTTTCCTAGTGCCACCGACATATCCTGCATTGTACAGAAAGCAAACAACGCAACACAAAAATAAGCAAATAAAAAAAATTATTTTTTGCGTAATAGTAAGTATAATAGTCGGAAAAACCATAGCTAAAGATCTCTGTTGGTCAAAATTTTTACCTGTGACATTTTAACAATCATTTCACTGACAAAATCCACTGGAGTCATCTCCACTTGCCAGTCGATATTTGGAGCAGACAGTGTTGTAGTGATGCCTTTGATCATCAACAGAATAAAATCTAAGGGGTTCCACTGAACATGCTCTCGGTCACCAGACAGATTCCCTAAAACAGATGACATATTTCTCATAATTGTTCATAGTACTTTGTCCAAGCTAAAGGTTGGACATTGAGTGGGACATTGCAGTCCAGATGGAGCACTTCAAGACTGAATCCTGGTTAGGGTCTTTGTGTTGTGCTGCTGGGCAAGATGCCTTGTTGTTACCTATTTTCGCTGGAACTTGATTTCGCGAAAGTGGAACAGACATATTTCGAAGTCAAAGTTGTTATTAAAATGGAGGCCACGACAAGGAACAGAGAAATAATTAACAAATATAAACAGCTTGTCGTGACGACTTACAAAACTGCACCAAGGATATAAACTCACAAGAACTGTAGCAAGAAGGTGACACTGATTCAGACTACGAGAGCTCCGACGGCCGAGACATAAATAGAGAGCAAGATAATTACGTACGTAGCTAACTGGATTGAATAGAAGGATATTCAAGTTCGCATGGTTATTGAATATCGCGAAAGTAAGTAACAATAATATACTTCTTAACTTTACTCTCACAGTGCTTCTCTCCACTTAACCTGTTTCTAAGCAAATCTGGATGACTTTATGTCAACAGCTAATTAAATTTCTCTGTACCTAATCTGTAAATGACAACAGGTAATCCTTGAGTCCTCGCTCTCAACACCAGCTGCTCTGCAACCCACTTGGACTGAGAATACCTGGGCACCAACATCAGTCAGTTAGTGTAATACAGAAGGGGTGTATGGAGCATGGGATCGATAAGCAAGAAGGGTTCATATCGTCAGTATTATCAATTCTGCCATGCTAGTAACTAAAAGCCTCTTCCAACCGTTTTAATCGCTCCCAAGATAGACAATACTAGAAAAAGCCTGTGTGCACCCCCAGCAGTTTGTGGATGTATTCTGGATATACTGCAGATTCAGGAAAAGGAAAATAGATCATGGTTGTAGTGTCATCTACTGGACAAAAGAGTGATGGAAGAAAGGTATAGCACATGGACAGCAATCTATCTATCTTTTTAATAAGAGTCCGTTAAGATAATGTTACTTTTATAGCGCATACTAACATGTGGGTATGTTCATATGTTATATCTGGATATGTTCCAACCCGTTCCCAGGGCAAGGAAAAGGGCCTGGGAACGAGGTTGGATATATTCATATGTTAGCCTAAATTGTTCAAGCTCGTCGTTTGTAATCCTGTTAATCTTCTCCATTAAGTAGTTGGGTAAAATCATGTTTACAGCTGGCCAGTCTGTCTAATGGCCAAACTCAAGCGAGCCCCTGTTAAATTATAGATGACATTAATCAATTCTGTAAGTATCACATGTCAACATAACATACCCATCATCAAGTTGCGTTGCATATTGATTCATGTCTGCATCTTCTGAACAATTTGACAATCCATGAGGGAACACAGCATCCGTGCTACGAAAAAGGAAGAAGACACAAGAAACTGTTATGGCAGACCCAACAACTACAGTTGTTACAACAAATTAGATTTTGGTCTTCTCTGCCCTTGACCGGCCCGAACCTCTATAAAACCTGTTTTGATTCGTTCTTGTTAAAGAAGCTACGTCACGGTTTGAAAAGTTTACCCTAAATTTTTCAAGTTCGTGGTTTGTAATACGTATCAATCTTCTCCATCCTAAACCATCCTTGTTCCGTTATGGTTTATTATTGTCTCTTTGGTGTTTTTCTATCTTAGTAAACTACTATTTTCAGGTTTCCTTCAAAAAGGTAATTTTGTACGCGGCTAAAATAACTCAAAATACCGTGACTTAATCTGCACCTTTTCTTGGTCTTAGTGGTGGGGGTGTTGTTTGTGATGTTTACGCATTGTTTTGTTTGGCCAAATATAAAGAACCTTGTGAACCGTGCAGGTCAGTCCCTCCTCCGTTGATCACTCTTCCTGAGAAATATTCATTTGGGTAACAAAAAAGTCACATTGTTTTTGCATACCTGATGTAGTGTAGTGGTTTGATTTTACTAGTACACGCAAACAGCAGAACGTTTTGGGTTCCTTGAACATTTGCTCCTCGCAAAGCCTGTTGAGAATAAGGAAGTATGTAATACTATAGTAAACAATCACAAGAGAGCCTGACAACTGTGGTTATTTTAAAAAAAACTACACGATTCATAGACTGTATGGAAAGTGATTGCCCCTGAAACAAATTTCAATAAGCTATGTACCAGGTTTTTCAATAAAAGACAGCACCAGTGGATTTGAACCACTATCCAGGACAAAAGTAGCCACCTGTTCTGGCTTAATGAAGCTACCGTGGAAGCTTCACTAACGGGCACCTCTCAACAACGGCAACTTATTCTTGTCCCGGCGGAGGTCCATACATTTACTCTAATTTTAAACTCTCTAAAACGGTAACTTAAGCGCGTCCTAACTGCCAAAACCTCGTGACAACGACCAGTTAATCAACGACTGACAAACTGTGCAAGCAAAACCCAGTTTTTTATTGTAAAAGATGAAGAAAATTGATCCATACCGTGCGTAGCCTGCGAACGCAGACGTATTTCCGGCTCGTTGGTCTCTCGTTCTGTTTGGTTTCTGTTTTATCGACATATTTTGATTCTGTTGCGTATTTACATGCTAAAACTGATAACGCTAAGCCGTTATACCTGGTATGGATAAACCATGTTCACAGCTGCTGCCGCGTGAATAATAAGGTCGACCTGTAAGAAAAGAGAAAACTCTCAGCAACTTCTGTATAGTGTCTAACAAGCGCATTCATTCCAACTCTGTTTCAGTTTGCTATGAAGTGAAAGGCAAACAACTACTGACGTTATATTAACTACTTATACTAACTTTCACTACAGATTTTGATAATGAACAGGAAAGTTAGTACTATTTAACAATTAGATTATGAGCTCGAGATTTCTATGAGGTGATAGTTGACGAGGCCGAAGGCCGAATCAACTATCGTCTCATAGAAATAGAGAGCGATTAATTAGTAGAATTCTAACTTAAATTAACGCAAATAATGGTTTCCAAATATTTTTCGACGCATTATTGAACTTTACGCTTTAACAAAATCGCATGTATTGAATTGTCCTTGGTAAATTTGCAGTTGTTTACGCGCGCGCACCGGTTTTTCAATAATTTCAAGTTTTTAAAGTCAAGAATCCGTTTATG